GACAGAAATTGGGGCATCTTCCAGCATTTCACCTTTATATCTCTGATGGATAGCTTGACATGATCATCTTCCCTAATAGGTCCCCTAGTGGATGAGAAAGTTTGATCATTTCCCCAACATACGGTGGAAACTTACTCAGCACAACCTATGAAATCCTGATCCCCATCAGAGATTATTTCCTCAACGCGGTCCACGGGATTTAATTCCCCAACGGAGTTTATTTCTCCAACACAGTAAAATCCCTAACAAAATTATCTTCTCCAGCAAAGTTTAATCAAAGTTGTCATCCCCAGAAGAGTTGCTAAGGTTTCTGAAACCTGGTCAGATATCGCGTCAGAAGAATATCCATCTCTTTTATCCCTAGTCAGAGTACATAAGAATCCTAGAATGCTTCTATCCACAAGCAGAAGTCGAACATCCCTAGTGGAGTATCCTTAAACAGAAAGCGGAAATCCCCAGTAAGGCCGTTCTAAAGAAAATTGAAGAATTACTTTATTCACCCACAACAACAACCACGTATTTAGTTTCCCATCTAGACGTTGTTAGAAGAATCTACCATATGCTTCAACAACATATTGCATCCATGCATCATTTACAAAATATCATAACATATGCATACGAAACACATGTAACATTCTCATTTATTTTGAGAGAATCATTATGCAATGCATTACATACATCATGCAATTGCATAAAACTAACTTTTACTTTTCAGGTTATTTCCTGAACAGATAGAGATTGTTAATAGTTTATCATCTTTCAAATACAATCAGACAGTGATTCATTCTGATAAACACATTTTTCAAATACAATCAGTCGAAGATTCTCTTCTAGATACAGTTCATATATGATCAAGATATATGTCCATTCTGATATTCATTTCGGTACATATCTCAGATACAGTTGGACGAAGACTCATTCTGATCCTCTTCTAGATACAATCAGGCGTAGACTCATTCTAGTACAGAACTTGGATATAGTCGGGTGAAGACTCATTCTGATCCTCTTACAGATATAGTAAAGACATAGACTCATTCTAGAATATCATTCAGATACAATCAATACATAAGATTCATTCTAACACTCCTTAGCACATCTGCTAGATACAGTCGGACATAGACTCATTCTAGTATACTTCTCAGATACCGTCAAACGTATACTCATTCTGATAGTCCTATCACTAGTTACTTTGGATGGCATCTATAAGCCCATCTCCGAAGACACTCTATCACCTCTCTGAATGGCATATTTAATCCCATTCGAACAATACGATCAACCAACAGTGTTACTTCATGCACGTGTGAGTGCAAATTTCTAGGCACTTAAGTGTGCAATCCTCTTCCATCTTCAGATCACGAATGGCGAGCATGTCAATCTAACTCTTCAGATTTAAGAAGATTGAACAGGGGAAGATGTTGTACCCCGAAACTTTCCCTCCCATTATTCAAGAAAAATTATTCTCATAGTTCTCCTCATGCTCCTACGGTTCTCAAGCACTCAAGACTACTCAAGGAATTGATCAGACAAGTCCTCCTCCTAAGCAATTGACCTACAACTAGGGTTTTGCTTTCTTCAAGAAAATTGAGCTTATAATGCCTCAAGTGGGTTTCATGGGTCCTCATATGTATCAAAGTACCCTCATGTGATTTTTCAAGCCTTACATCACAAATTTGCTCAGTCAATTGCTCAGATGATTAAAAATCAACTGTATTGGATGAAAAGTCAACATTGGTCAACCTACAGTCAAATTTCAAGATTATTGGTCAACATAAATATTTTAAAGTCACATTCATCATTTTATCAAGTGTTGATCATGATTCATCAAGAAAACTCAAGATTCATCAAAAGTCAAAAGTTACCAAATTAGGGTTTTCTTAAGGAGAAGTCAACTGAACTTTGACCAAGCATAATTCTCACATACTTCATTAGAAATTTCTCAACCAAATCCTATCTTGAAGGAAATCCAATTCTATACAACTTGTTCTCTCTAAGCTCAAGGCAAAAAATGCTTCATTTGAGAGATATGGGCCACAATATTATAGGTCATTCTAAAAGTCAACAAAAAGACATCTTTTGTCAAAGCAATTTACATCAAGATAAAGGCTTCAAATGAAAAAACGACCAACGTGAAGATTATTAGGGATATATTGAGGTTTTCAAAAAGTCCAAGATCATCTTCATATGAAAAAAAATTGAGTGAGTTATGATTGGTGCAAGTTGGGAAATTTTGAGGAAATGCATGAAGTTCAAATTTAGAAAATTTGAATTTTTGGGCTAATGGGCTTATCTTTTAAGGTCCAAACGTGTTCCTTACCTCATAATAGACTCCTAAATCCATTCATATATTTTTGTGGTTTTTATTTCTTTTTATTTTGATTTTTATTCATTTAAAAGAAAAATAAATCAAATAAAATATCAAACAAATGATACAAGGTGTGGGGATCTATTTTGAATCAAAACATGAATATAATATCACATAATCATGCTAAAAAAATAGTGAGGGATCATGAAGATTGGATTTGGCACAAGATTGAGCTCAAAAAGATATGATTCCATGTAAAAAAATCAAATCAAATATTTTGTCATGAAATACAAAGATTTGATTCATGTTTGTTGACCTAATTCATGGCCTATAAAAAGAGAACATATTCAGACCATTAGAGATCACAAAATTTCCTCAAGAAGAACCCTAAAAAAATCTCAAAATTCTCAAGAGCTAGGGCAAACACAAACCCTTATCTCCAGACGTTCTCAATAAATTTTGGGCATCAATTCACCTTCCTGAAGACTCTAGGAGTTGATCCATATCATTACTCAAGCTTGAATCACGCCAGAGCTCTCTCCCTCAACATCATTGGTTTTAGTAACTTTATCAATCTAAAACTCTTAATTCATGCATTGTTGAATGATTTGGTACATACATACTTGTTCATGATGAGGTTTAAAACTGTTTTGATCCATTACTTATGAAGTATAGCGCATGAATTGAATTTCACCATTGTTGGGGAACAAATATCTCAAAGTTGTGAATCTATAGTTGCAGGTTGTTTCAGATGAAACTAATCACACCATTGAACTCGCAGCCTTTTAATTAGCTAATTTGGGCACTTTGTTTCGTTATTTGATGTTGATTTTGCAGATTTCAATGTTTAGCACCATCGGAGAAGATGGTTGTAACCTCCATCCATGACGGTTGACCGGCCAGTTGAATCTTTGACCTAGGCGTGTCACCATCTCATTCGTCCATTCAAATATCGGGACCCCACCACCAGCGCGCGTGTTCAATTTCATTTAATCTCTGATTTTCTAATTTAATCTTCTTTTATATATATTGTTGTTCACATGTTTGACAAGCAACAACAGGTGGTGTGGTGGAAATATCATTGACTGGTGAAAGGAAGGGCGTGGGTTTAACACCCACCCCAGACATTCTTTTTTTTTTCTTCCATTTTTTCACTAACCCTAATTTCTTCTTATTTTCTTAACTATTTTCTAATTAATAATTAACAAAATTTAATTCTTTTTAAATTAAGATTAAGGTTTTTAATGAGTAATTAAATTAATTCTTTCACTAACCCTAATCTTTTTGACAATTTTTTTTATTTTACAAATTTTTAAATTAATTAACATTTTTTTAATATTAAAATTAATTAGAATTAGGGTTATTTTAATCAATAATCAATTTTTGACATATTTTTTATTTACTAATTAATTAGACTAATTAATATTTTCTTAAATATTAAAATCAACTAGAATTTAGGTTTTAATTACTATTATCATTTAAATTATTTTCTATAAAAATACAAAAATACAAACTTAAGTTTTATAACATTCAAACATTTTTAAAAACGTTTTCTTATTTATCTTTGCTATTTATTTTCTTAGAAAAGTGTATAGGTTGCACTCTTTATTTGTAATATCTTAGATTTATTTTCCCGCACTTTTTCTCTATTATGTATCTACTCCCAGGATGTAATATTTTTAGGGTTTACTTTCCCGCACTTTCCTAATTATGTAACTACCCTAAAGCCATGTAATAACTTAGGTCTTTACATTCCGCACTTTACTTTTCCTGCTATATTTTATACTGCTAGTAACTAGGGTTTGTAAAGCAAGATTAAAAACAATCATAGCAAAACCCTAATTTTTCAAGACTAAATAATTGAAACTAACACACTTTGCACACTTACACCTTTAGGGTAACCTATCTTGTTTCCTTACAAATATTGGTCACGTCCCTTGAAAGTAGGGATACTTTAGCAAAATACCCTTGATCAAATCATCATCATACAAAAGATCATAGTCCCTCAATGTCTCTCAAGTTTCCTATGGAAAAATGATCTAGTCCCTCAAGTTGCCTACAAATAATATGATGACAGTCCCTGACGAAATTACTAAAGTATCCTTGCATGTTGCCTTTAATGACCATATGATGACCCTATGTCTGTCCCTTCACATCCAATAGATAGGGCTATCTACCAACTAATGGTACGAATAGTACTGTCTTCAAAGGAGAGGGAAAAGAATAAGAACGACCTTTAGTGGGTAAGAACTCTTAAATGCTTCCTTACAAAACAAAACATTTTCTCACATCACATTTTCAAAATAAATATTTTCAAACAAACACTTTGTAAACATTCTTGAGGACTGATACAAGAATTATTTCAAAGTCCTCCTTACATTGGAATTTCAAAATATTTTCAAACAATTCACACACACACACAAAGCAAAGTTTAAAAAGTGATCTAAGCAATTAAGAGGCTGTAGATAACTACAGATGAAAAGGGTTCTAACACCTTCCCTTTTCATATCTTACCCCCCCCCCCTAACTCAAAATGTATCAAGGTCTCTCCTGTTCTTTTTACCCTTTCCTAAATATTGGATAAAAGAAAAGTCGGTGGCGACTCTTTCTATCCGCACATTTGGATAAAACCAAAAAAGTCAGTTCTCCCACCGTATTACAGATTCCTCTGATTAATGGGAATGTGCATATATATGTAATGCATCCAGTGTTTGGGGAAGATCAAATATTGCCTCTTGAAAACAATGTAGGTCCCAATGGTGCAGAAGACGACAACTTGGAAGATTCCAATAATGTTGTTGTAATAGGAACTTTTGATTGCTTGGGGACCATTGAAGATTTGAATAATCTAGGTAAAAAATTTGATGAAGGAGGGTCCACGGGTCTAAAAGATTCAACTGCAGTTGACCAAGAAAGTTCATTTCAGGAAGTTAATATGGATTGGACCACTGAGAGCATTAACCAAAAAGAGTCATGTCTGGATGGGTCCACTTAGAGCATTAACCAAAAAGAGTCATGTCTGGATGGGACCACTGGTTGGGCAACAAAATTCAATGTAATGTAAGAGAGAATCATAATTTGAAGTTAAGTGATATGGTGGAGAAAAAAAAACAAAAGTGGAATTTAGGGATCAATAAGACACTTGCATTTAGATATAAGTCACATGCTATTGACATTGCAAGGATAGTTTCTTTAGGTGAAGACCTATCATAGGTTTGGATGGATTCTTTTTGAGAGGCTATTATGGTGGGTAAATTCAAGCAGCAATTATGAGGGATCCTAATGACCAAATGCTGCCAATAACATTTGTTGTAGTTGAGGGAGAAACCAAAGATTGATGGAGTTGGTTTTTGGATCCATTGACAACTAATTTGGGAGGTGTCTGATTATGCAAAACATATACCTTTATAAGTTATCGCCAAAAGGTGTGTAATGATATTTTTATAATTAATTTTTGTTGTTGATATCTTTAAATATTAGTTGGTATGACATGATGACAAGGGTTGTTACCTACACTTGATGAGTTACTACCAGAAGTTGACCAAAGGTTTTATGTTAGGTAAACGGTTATATAGCAATCTCAGGAAGAGGTTTCCTGATGTCAAATTAAAGGAATTTATGTTGAAGGCTTCTATTGCAAGTCATTCAAAGCTTGGTAAAAATTATGCGTGAAATGAAAGAGGTTTATAAAGAAGCCTTCAAGCACCTTTGGAAGATCCCACCAAGGTTCTGGAACAAATCAATGTTTAGAAATGGTCCAAAGTGTGACACTATGGTGAACAACATACCAGAAGCCTTTAACTATGTATTTGTATACAAGAGCCAAGCCCATTGTGACTATGCTTGAAGATATTAGAGTGTACCTGATGCATAGGTGGGAGTCTAACAGACAAAAGATTGCAAAATATGGTGATACCAATCTGCCCATTATCAGAAAGAAGTTGGAAAAAGAATCACAAAAAAACTAACCGTTGGATGGTTAGGTAATGTTTGATACTTGATTTCTAGGTAATACAAAGAAGATTCAATTGATATATCATTGGTCCATAATTGATTTCTCTATTTGTAACAGGCGTGTAGATGAAGTAGACTAAGAGGTTAGGCATACATCACTCATAGAAGAAAAGTTTTATGTTAATATATCAAAGCATGAGTGTTCATGTAGATTGTGGATGTTGACTAGGCTACCATCTTGTCCCGCCCCTTCATTTATGAAGGATCATCCTTTACAAGTATATGATTTTGTTCTTGATTATTATAAAAATGAGTGTTATGAGGCTTGCTATGCACTAGTGATATATCCAGTCAATGGAGAATCTCTTTGGACCAAAACAAATGTTGTTGACCTGCAACCGCCCCCCATAAAAAGGCAACCTGGTAGACTCGATAAGAAAAGAAACAAGTTACAAATGCGACTCAACATAAAAGGACCAAATTTGGTATCAGGTGAAGTAGGTGCCATAAGGATGGTCACAAAAAGGACACTTGCTAGCTGCCTACAACTTCTGCTACATCAACCCAACCACCAACTACTGCTGCTACATTAATCCAACCACTAGTTGTTGCTGCTACATCAACCCAACCACCAACTTCTACTACTACATTAACCCATCTGCCAACTATTGTTGCTACATCAAGCCAACCACCACCAACTGATGCCTCAAGCCAACCAACACCAGATGGAGGTTGAACTTAACAACCATCCAAAAAGAGAAAGAGACATCAAAAGGGTCTAAAACTAGTTCTGAGCCAACCCTAAGATTTATGTTTATCTTTGATTTGTAGTTTATGACTAAGGCTTATAATGCCACTTTTGGCCTATAACATATGACAATGGCTTATTTTGTATACTAAGGCTTCTTCGATGAAGACAACATGGTGACATTATTTACCCCTTTAAATAATGATTTATTTATTCATTTGATGACTAAGCACACGGTTGGCATGACACCCTATCACTTACTAATGGTTTAACACCTAAAGTAATTGAAGGGATCGAATATGTTAACGGAAATAATATTATTGGACTAAATCGAAGCGATTTTTTATTGAGACTGAATCACAACTCAAAGTTAAATTACGGAACTTGGGGGTTAATTATGCCTTAAAATTACTATGAGGATGATCCATTCCCATGTCGAGCACATGTTTAACCTGTTGCTTCATATTTAGGATCTCTCATATGTTCCACATGATGATACCAGATTGAATCGACGATGTCATTTGAGACATGTGAACCTTGAACTACAATATGTATGATGGTTCACAAAATCGGAAAGTGAAAAGTACAATGGAGAGGATCCATTTCCATGTTTATGCGTCTCCAAACTAGTTAAATACTCTTCATTTCCACACAAAAAAATTGAAAGATTTCATTAGAAGAGATATACATAAAAAATAGCAGGTCCCTCCATCAAGAAAATCCTACTATTTATGGAAGTTGTACAAGATGAAGAAAACAATTGAGAGAGGTAAAGTTATATGTGTTAGTCAATGATATTATTTCCTTTAATGTGATGCTCAGAATAATCCTAATAATAATTGTATATATTGTAATTCCTATTTAACATGTATAAATTAGGAATTAGGTGATATTAGTTATTAATAGTTGTAATTAAGATTGTATTATATATACAAGTGAATAACATGAAAGAGGAAGGCAATAAAGCCATAACTTATTGACATGGTATCACGAGTCTTTTGTTGGTAACAATCTTGGTCTTCCATGTTCTTAGTTCCCGGTCTGTTTCAGCCCTTGTTTGGGTTCATGTTTTTTTCTTGCCTTGTCTGTTTTTTGTTCGCCCTTGTTTTGCCATCTCGGTATTTTGTTTCCCTCTCGTTCTTGCTATTACTAGGTTTTATGTTTTGTGTGGTTTGTTGTGCTATTCATCATGTTGACAGAAGAAAAAAAAGGAGATTTTTCGTGTTCGTTTTAGCGAAAAAAATTATGCATCGTGGGAGTTCTAATTCAAGATGTTTGTGAAAGGTAAAGGCTTGTGGGGCCATATAGATGGCACCTCATTTGCACCATATGCCGATGTTGTTTTGACATCATGGAAAGCAAAGGACGCTCATATTATAACTTGGATTCTAGCTTTGATTGACCCTCAAATGATTAACAATTTGCATTCCTTTTCTACTGCTAAGGAAATGTGGGACTATCTAAAGTGTGTTTACAATCAAGATAATCTCGCTAAACGGTTTTAGTTGACATTACAAATTACCGTCAAGGAAATATTTCGATTCTAGACTATTATTCTGGATTTATTAATTTGTGGGTTGATTATTCGGCTATTTTATATGTCGATGTTTCTCCTAACTCGCTCGCTATTGTTCAAACAATTTACGAGGTTATTAAGCAAGATCAATTTCTTATGAAACTTCAACCTTAATTTGAAGCAGTGCATGCATCTTTGCTGAATCGAAGTCCACTTCCTACTTTAGACGCGTGTCTTGGAGAATTTCTCCATGAGGAGCAGCGTCTATTGACACAAAGGGCCATGTCACATGACAACTTCACTATTGATGTTGTTTCTGTTGCCTATTATGCCCAGATTAAAGGGAAAGGTCGTCATATGGGACACGTTCAATGTTTTTCCTGCAAACAATTTAGGCATATCTATAACGCCCGTAATTGAATTCAATTATTTATTTAATTAAATTATTTTTGGATTATTTGTGAAGCTGCGAGATGTTGAGAATTATTGATATAAGTTGTTGGATTATTAGTAATTAATTAATTAGTTGATTAATAATAATTTTATTATGTGGAATTAAGGGAATATATGAAATAATGTTGGACTTATGCTATTGGTTGGAAGTAGTAAAGTGGGGTGTAGGTTAGGCCCAAGTGGATTTTTATATAAGGAGAAGCTAACACAAGAATTTGTCTTAGTTGGAGAATAAGGATTTCTATATGTTGACCAGTAGAGTTGCACGGACGAGGAGCAAGCTGCCCGATATCGAGCAGAGCGAATTAAGGGTTACAGCCGAAGCTTTGGTTGAGCAACCTTCAATCCAAGTAAGGGTGGGTTTGTAACCTTATAATGGGACTTATGATGTGTATTACGTGGGAATTGGTCGTTTTATTATTGTTGTCCATAGATGTTTCTGAATTGTTGTCGAAGTTGCTCATTTATTCATGTTGTGGCCGTTGGGAAGAACTGTAATACCATTTAATGAATCCATTTTAGGAAGTTGCTTGGTTGTGTGTTGTGGACGTTTTGTGTATCTATGTGACTACCCAATTTAATCGATGAGTAGGTTAGTGTAAATTGTTGCCTTTTGTTGTGGTTGTTAGATCGTTGTGATCGTTATGATGGTATGGTCGTTACGATTTTATGAATTATTGTTGTAGTCGGTCTTGTATAATGAACGAATCTGTCGATAGGAATATAGTTGCCAGTTACTGTGTTACTTCAAGCGGTTGGCTGGAAATTATGAATTATAGTGGTGTGGTCGTTAAGAAGTTGTATCGTACCTATTGTGATACGGTGGGAGAACTGACTTGGGTTTTGCGTTTTGTATTCGCACTTGTTCGATTTAGCAAGAGTCGCCACCGACTTTTTATTTTATCCTAAAGGAAAGGTTAAAAAGCACAGGAAAAACCTTTTGAGATGTTTCGTGGGTTCGGGGGGTAGATTATGAAAAGGGAAGGTATTAGCACCCTTTTCATCCATGGTTATCCATGGGCTCTTAGTTACTTGTTTTAAATCACTTGCCTTTGATTTTCAATTTCTTGAAATTGTGGTGTGTGTGTGTGTGTGTGTGTTTTGAAAATGTTTTGAAAAAGAGGCCTTGTCTAGGAAACCGTTGTAATAATTCTTTACTCGAATGTTTTACAAAGGTGTGTATCTTTTTGAAAAGATGTTTCAAATGTTTTGAAAGTTTGTTTTGAAAGTGTTTGTGAGTGGGTTTTGAAAAGTAGGCAAGTGTGTTTTGCAAGTTTGTCAAGTAACTAAGAGTTGTCTACCCCTAAATTTACTCAAAGGTTTT